GACTATACACGCCCAGCTCCACCAACCTCTCCTTGTAGGCCATATGCTCCATGCCTCTGGCTGCCTCAGTAGCCTTCTGCTGGACCCTCTCCGTATTCCTCCACGTCCTTCTTGGACTGGGGGGGGATGACACCCAGAACTGAACACGCTATTCCAGGTACAGCCTCACCAGTGCCAAGTAGAGATGGATAACTTCCCTCCATCTGCTGACCTCGCTCCTCCCGATACAACTCCCAGCATAGTACGCAATTTGCCTTACTCACGAGGAGAGCACACAACACATGGGCTTATAGTCAATTTGGCACCCGCCGAATCCCCCAGGGCCTGTCGAGCAGGGCTGCAACTCGGCCCGTCGCCTCCCAGCCTGGGCAGAGACATGTGGTGGCTCCAGCCAGGTGCCAAGCTCTGCACCTCGCCGTGTTGAACTCTGTGAGGTTTCTTCTAGCCCCATCCTCTCATCTACTGAGGTCCCTTGGGCTTGAAGCATTTGGAATGTCAGCCACTCCCTGTAACTTAATATCACCCTGTGCAAGAATTTAAAAATGACAAAAGGCGAGTGATATTTTAATTCCTTTGGTCACAAAGGAATTTTAATGCTGTTACTCAGCTTCTGGCTGCATTTTTCCCAGTTCTTGTTTGCTCCCACTTTCTCCACAGTCTCACTGAGCTGCAGTCCTGTCATCAGCCTCTTCTTGGCTGTCAGCAGCACCAGGAGAGGGATCCTGTGACTATGAGGTTTATTGCCAGTCTCTTGTTGTCTCCCTATGCCCAGCACATGGGCTGGTGGGACTGGCCCCTTGAGCTCCCCGGTGCCTTTGCATCAAAGGCAGAGGATACTAGTATGTCTAGTTCCCTTTTTCAGGTAACTACTTCTCCATCTTAAATATTTATAGATTGATAAACTGGTCTGTGCATCAAAAGCTGGATGCTGCTGGAGTTATTCCCACTCTTTCTTTCCTTACTCCCCCAAAAAAGAATCCTATTTAGCATGGAAATAGCAGTGCATATATTGTACAGTGGTATGTGCTGGACAAAGAGGTGGTGTGGTGCTGTATCAGCTGCCAATGAGCTATGGACCTAAGCCAAAGGCTATTGAAATGCATAAGAGGCTTTGGACGTTACATCACACCTAAGTTAACTTTTGACTAAATTAAGGATTGGATATTTGGCTCTGAAATCAGAAGTGTGCTTAAGCATATGAGTGGTCCCACTGAAAGCGGTAGGACTACCTGTGGACTTAACATTACACGCGTGGTTGAATAACTTTGCGCCTGGATCTGTTTTGCCATTGGTGGCTCCTAAATCAGATTTGTTGCTGAAAGTTTCCCAATGCTGCCACCTACAGAACAGGTTAACTGCAGCTTTCAACATAGCAGAGAAGAAAACTCTGTTAAAAAAATTATAGATTGTGCACAATCAACCCTGGATACGGTTCTAAATTAGCAATGTGCAGGTCTAAACAGATAAGCCTGAAATCCTACCTAAGATTCTTAAATATTTCTCAAATATTTCTAAGGATAATTCTATAGATTAACTGTTAAAACTCCACCTCTGGGAAGGCTGCACAGCCTAGGCAGGAACCTGTTAATTCAAATTAAATAATTTGCTCAGTAGACTCCTCACATGTCTGGAAGAGCAGCAGTAGCAACAGCCAGTCACAGGTTTCTTTCAGAGCAGGCACAAAACACAAAACAGGCTTCACAAGCTCCTGCCCTTCTCAGTAATTGTCACAGTGAAAATTCAGGGGTAAATTCAGGAAAAACACGTAAGGTTTTAGATGAGAAATGGAGAAGGTCAAGAGAGCTAATTTAATTACGGAGGATGCACAGGAAATCAAGGAATGGTAACAGTTCCATACGGAACTTCAGATTTAAGATAAAAATACAAAGAGGAGAAAACAAGCAGAGACAAGAAACAAAATGAGCCTCACTTTAGATAGGATGTGACCAACAGAGAATATTAAATTATCAGAGAGCATCTTCTCACAAAAACAATGTGTTTTGATTCATAATACTCTCAAAAAGCCTACAGACATTTATACCTCTTGGTCTGAACTCTTCTGCTGAAGTGTGAAACACTGGGCAAAGATTAAAATTCAAAAACTTGCAAGTAGGTAAAACTAGCTGGCAAATATGCATAAAAAGCATTTATTTTGAGATTATACACATCTGACTTCAAAACATCTTCTATCTTTTCTATTTATAGCTTATTCTATATGGTTTTGACTTGGCACATATGGACTTTCATGCATCATGACTTTTCTTCTGAATGCAGTAGCACATCTGGAACAGCTGCACTGTTAATATTGCAAAAGCTTCCATCTATTCAGCTTACAGACCCTCACCCATTGTTTGAGACCTCCTTCATCTGAAGCAACTCTGTCCCAACTCCGGAGATCTTCACCTCCCCAGCAACTCATCTTCCTCTTTCTACCCAGGCTGTTTTAAATGAAAGCCCAGCTGTTTGCCCCTGTGGTAATTTTAGTAGTGGAAAACAGCATTGCTAGCAATGTTATACACAAGTGGATGGATAACATTCATTCCTTAATTGTTCTCTCTATTTCCATCCTTTGAAGATATACCTGGGACCAGAAGGTGAGAAAATAAGAAAGGTCTGTCACAACCTTTCCCTGTTTTTCCATGAGGCCAAAATTATTCAAATGTTGCCTTTCAGTAGATTCTTAACCCAGAAGCTTGAGCTAAAGAGTGAAAAAAAGTTTATGTAACACAAAAATAACTTCAGTAGCACTAGAGACTTACATTGCTAGATTAAAAAAAAAGAAAAAAAACAAAACCAGAAACATTTGACTGCTGCAATCACTGCAATCACAGATACAGTAGTATCTGAAAGACATTCAGGTTACTTCAGCATTGACTGACTGCCTGTGTAACTGTACACAGGCACAGTTACAGCAGGTACCCTCGGCAGTGGCCTTGAAGGCATGAAATGGTCCCCTGCAGAATTAAAGCATGCTCCTCCAGGTATGGCATACAGCTGACTGGGCTCTGCTCTCTCTCTGTCTCCCTCCTCCTGCCGTATCTGATTTTTATTGCTCCTTCCATCCTCCTGTGCTCATGCCACACGCATTTCCTCTCTTGCAGGCTTTGTTGCTAAGCAGCCTGAGCTGCAGGCATGGCTCCGAATCTGCACTGGAGTAGGAGGCTGCAGCGGAGATGCCCCAGGAGGCCTCCCTCCACCCTGCAACAACCTCCACTAACAGGCAGAATAAGATGCTGCTGTAGAGAACAGCAAGTGACACGTAACAGACCTTTTCTCAGCCGGTAGCTTTCAGCTTTCTGCTAACAGGAAAGCTTACCTTCCTGCTAACAGAAACTGAACGAGACTGATATTCAGAATTGAAGTACTCTGAGCTTTAGCTGAGCTCAGAATTTGCATTAAAAGGTGTTGCAATGCCCTGCTAGCTTCAGCTGTCAGGTAATTATGTGAGCAGTAACAAGGCCCAATACCAAACACCTCCAGACCACACATGGCTTTAATCAAAGCTTGTGTTTTGAATTACCCTTCAAAAAAGCCTGGAAGCCAGGAGCAGTCTGCAGCATACACAGAGCACCAGTGACCACCTAAGAATGTAAGTTACCCAGCACCATACAACATGGCTGGCAGGCACGACTGGGACACAATACGTCAAAAGAAAGGCCGGAGTTGAAGGGGTTTTATCCCATCTTACAGCTACCTGAGCTATCAGCAAGGAGCTGCAGATAAGCAGCAGCTAGACTCAGGTAAGAATAGTTTCCACAGAAGGTCACAGAGTTGAGGTCAAGGAAATGTGTAATATATATCAAGTATCTTTCTTCCCCTTGAACCCAGAACTTTGTCCTGCTATTGAAAATTCATGTAGTGTCATTTCTCCTTTTTTAGGTGTCCTGGTTTCAGCTGGGATAGTTAAGTTTCCTTGCTAGTAGCTGGTATAGTGCTGTGTTTTGGATTTAGGATGAGAATAACGTTGGTAAC